AAATTTAAATAAATTTAAATAAATTTAAATAAATTTAAATAAATTTAAATAAATTTAAATAAATTTAAATAAATTTAAATAAATTTAAATAAATTTAAATAAATTTAAATAAATTTAAATAAATTTAAATAAATTTAAATAAATTTAAATAAATTTAAATAAATTTAAATAAATTTAAATAAATTTAAATAAATTTAAATAAATTTAAATAAATTTAAATAAATTTAAATAAATTTAAATAAATTTAAATAAATTTAAATAAATTTAAATAAATTTAAATAAATTTAAATAAATTTAAATAAATTTAAATAAATTTAAATAAATTTAAATAAATTTAAATAAATTTAAATAAATTTAAATAAATTTAAATAAATTTAAATAAATTTAAATAAATTTAAATAAATTTAAATAAATTTAAATAAATTTAAATAAATTTAAATAAATTTAAATAAATTTAAATAAATTTAAATAAATTTAAATAAATTTAAATAAATTTAAATAAATTTATATAAATTTAAATAAATCAAAGTTAATACATAAAAAATATGATGAGCTAATTCATAAAAACGACTGCAAACGATCGTCGTTCGTGCATCGTCGGTGCCCTTCCGTTTAAAGTTATAACCTTAATAGTATATTTAAGTAGCTGTGCGATAAATATTAATGTACGCGGATTTTATTTCTTTTTTATTTTAGAGTGAATTAATCTAAGAAGTTTCACTCTTATTTTAATACTTAGTTTTTTATGCTTCTGATATGATTCCAAATAATCTTACTTAATGGTTCTTTCGCCATTTATAACCGAGATAGAGGTAGTTTTATTAACTTTGCCAATTTCTTTCTTGTTTCATAACTTACCAACCGCTATTATGTTATTAAAATTTGGCACATGTATTCTCTACAACTTACCATAATCTATTAAGGCATTAATAAGAAACACAATGCAGTTTCATCTTTTCGATTTTTTGATTTTTTTTTTTCAATTTTTCATTTTTTTTTTTCGATTTTTGGATTTTTTCGATTTTTCGATTTTTTTCGATTTTTTTTTTCGATTTTTCGATTACCTACTAATAATATTTTCATATCAGTTTATACATACGTGTGCTGTCGTGACGTCATACCGTGACTAATGGATCATTATTCACTAGTGAATAATAGGTATTATTATTCTTAAGGAATTACAAGTATAATGAATTTTTTATAGAACAGTCGTGGACAAAAATGTTTGTAGTAAAATAGTCTGTGAGCAAAAATAATAAACACCGCTGGATTTATCTTTAGGTTCACCAACTGGTCGTGTTAATGCACTTGAGACCGGAGAATCAACCATACGAGGTCGATAGATACTCAAAAAAATTAATAAAGTAGTCCCAATGGACAAGTAAAAGATATTACCTGCTCAAGGGTGCGTTTAGTGGGTAAATGATAAGCCTGACTTGCACTAATGATCCGGGAGTCCCAAACTATTGGAAAAGGGAGAACCTGTACTCAATCTCTATAAGGGATATCCACATACCAAAAAAAAGATTAAAAAATTACTTCAATCGGAAACTAATTTGTCCACGACCACTTAATAATAAATCAATATTCTACCTCCTAACTAAAAGCATATGGTACCCATATAACACTAGAGTGAATTATGATAATTCACTCTTTTCTAATTCTGGCAATTTCCGGTAGATCACTAAAGATGGGCGATACTTTTCATAACGATATTTTCTAGATCGAAAAATCAGAAATTCAAAAAATTGGAAAATTGAAAAGTCAAAAAATCGAAAAACCGAAAAATTGAAAAATCGGAAAATCGAAAAATCAGAAATTCGAAAAATTGGAAAATTGAAAAGTTGAAAAAACAACAGTTAGTTACCAATGTTTAATAAAAACTTTCCATTTTACACTTAACTTTTATTTAATAAAGAAACCATAATGGTATAATGGTACAAAGTATAGTATTAGACTCGCCTGCGGCTCGGGACGCAAACGTCACCCTGCGTGAATAATGGCTACCATAAATTGCTCGTTTAATAATATACTATTTTGGGCCAGTGTATCTAAAAATATACACAATCAAACACTGAAAAGAAAATTCGAGAGACGCTACAATGGTGGTTGCCACCTTATCGAGACTGAGGCCCACAAGGGTAAACTCGTAGCGTAACAAAAACGAGAAATGATTTAACTTGGAACGAAAGCCTATAGTAGTATTAGGACGTTGAATTTTTGTTTTTATGAAACGGCATTACTTAGGTTTATCCATGTGATAATTTTCACAAGCCTTGATTTTTAAAACCATTCTATATCGCCTTTTGATTAGGGTTTAAAAACTTATTCGAGCAATTTTTCCAATAATAATTGGCACTTTTACGTCTTAAGCCTGCTTATGTAAAATATTTGGGCTCCTTATTTTGCCTATTTATATTCTAATAAGGGACATAAAGGACAGAAAGATGAGTATTGCAACTATGTTAAAAGAAATAAATTGGCTTTCAGTTCAAAATTATGTTCAGTACATGACTGATATTTATTTATAAAATAGTACCATCGCATCAGATCTATTAGAAAAAATTCAATATAATTCACAATATCACAACTATAATACAAGAAGCCAATCTGACTTTCATGTACGGCAGCCATCACTAATAGTTTCTAAAATATAATTTTTATTAAAGGTTTAAAAAATTTAATTGACTGTCTACAGAAATTAAAAAAAAAAAACAACAATAAATGTATTCAAAAGTAACCTCAAGAAGTTTACTAATTATTATTTATAATTCGCTGGTTGAATATGTAAACCAGCATTATATCCCACCTCTCTTTTATATAATAAAAAAGTGCTTTGTATAAGAACATTATAATATCTGTCTTGCTGCACATTTATTTATGGAAAGCTTTAATTGAGATACACTACAAATTATTTGCAATAAATATCAAAAGAAGCATACATTTTTAAATAATTTTACATTTAAGAGCCATTCCCACATCCCAGTTGACATCTTGATACCTGACAGGCAAAGCCAAGCATTATTCTGATTTTTGCCAATTAAAATGGCCGGTTAATTATTGGGGTTACCAATAAATTTGATGAATGTGTTTTTGTGGCTAGGGGCGAAATAGTAGTACGCTTAAGTTAGCACCACCATAAAAAAGTAATTTTTAAGAAACTGCTTATATATTTTTCATAATTGGCAGGCTTGGCGACTAATTTTGAATAAAAATAGCCTCCAAAATGGCTATAGTTGCAAATATGAAGGTCGCAACCTGCCTTAGAAATTTCACTTTGACTATCAACAGCTGTTGTTTGACAGGTCGTTAGAGAATGAGAATGAACGGAAACATAAAACAAAGTTTTAAAAATTGGGGTAAGAAAATGTTTTTGTCTGCACGAATGCAATACTGAGACCCCATAGGAAGGGCCTCAGTATTTAAAAATGAAATAAATTATTTTATCAAAACAACTAAAGAAATCACATTGGAATAAAAAAACAATAAAAATCATAGAATTTGAGGGTGTGCTTTGGCGTTAAACGTGTTAAGTTTTTAGGATGTAATAAGGTGCCCAATTCAAAAATGTATTTATATACTTGCTGGATGTTACAAGAATAGCAATTTTCTTGTAGAAATGGTATACTCTGACGTAACAACTGGATGTCACAAGATGCAAGTTTTTTCTGGATGTCACAAAGTGTTGTTAATAAAAATATATACCGTGTATACTTTGGATCTCACAACGATAGGACGTTTTATTTTTTTAAAATGTGTATGGTTGTGATATTTTTCGCTCAGCCATAATATTTTTTTAATTAAAAGAAGTCATATTTTTATTTTTTCCCTAAAGTCTTTGCAAAGGGTGGATGTCACAAAGTCAAAATTTTTGCCGGATGTCACATGATACGCTGGTCGAGTATATATATATATATATATAAAAATCAGCCATATAAATTTAAGTTAAGTAACTCTTATTTTTAGTCACCTTTCTCACCTGGTACCTGCCCAGGTGTCACTGGGCAAACTTTACAAACACGCAGGTATACAAAGTACATGAGACACTACTGAGAACTTAAAGTTTCATCTTTTAGAAAATAAGTTATGTCTTATCGCTCTGGGATCTTGGACTATTAGATATAATAAGCGACCAGCCACCAGAAAATAAACGCAAGCGCCCAAGTAACAGCAGATTTGATCATCGGATTTCTGCTTTAGAGGTGTGTGACGTTATCCTAAATTGTGCAAAAGATCGATTTGATTTTAAAGAGCATCTAGTAGTTGCCTCAATTTTTTTGTCGGAATGCTTTGGAGAGTATTATGGTAAATTTCCCGAGGATAAACTCACTTCCGCATGCTCTTTTTATCCCACACTTGACAAAGAACGATTGCGAACTGAACTGTCTGTTATTTATTCAAGAAATGATTGCAGGACATTGAATGGCTCACTATCTCTACTAAAATTTTTAATATCAAACAATCTAGGAGATACGTTAAAGGAGACTAGAAAATTATTAGAAATAGTGGTAACAACTCCTATGACAACATCAGAGGCCGAACGATGTTTCTCAACACTAAATCGAATCAAAACGTTTCTCAGAAATTCAATGACCGAAGATCATTCAACAGCTCTTTCCATGTTATCTATTGAAAAAAAAGTTTACTTCCGAAATAGACAATTTTAATGAAAAAGTTATTACAAAATTTGCGAACCGAAAAGAAGTAGGATAGACTTACTATCTGTTTAAATTTTTCACATCATTTTTTAAAACATTTTGTATTTTACTTGAAGAAAATAGAGTAAAGTAAAATAGTACTTGGTGATTCTTTTTTTTTGTGTTGCAATCGTTCCAGCAATCCATCATTCAGCAAGCACGATAAAATCAATGGGACTTTGACTAAGAAGACAACCCCCTGAAAGGTAAGCTAATATTTTTACCACGAGCCTCCACTGACCAACTGCATGCCATATTGCCTAACGACGCTTCGTACTGTTACAAAAAATATCAATAAAATCATACTTTCTATTTAAATTTTATTAAATTGCTATTTTACAAAAACTAGTAGTTAACTTAGGCATTTTAATTTGAAACAATTTTTTTAATAACACTATATACATATTCATTCCTTTCATTTGTAGTACAAAGATCTTCCTCTAGCTTCGGAATATGTTTTCGGGTAACACTGGATAAGGGCATCACCAGTATAACCCGTAGGGCAGGTACATACAGCAAGATGGCGACGAGCATCACAATTAGCGTTGACACCACATTTGTTGCCACAAGGATTTTGGCATCTGCAATACAAAAAAACAATATTAAGTTCAAATAATATACATGTCGTCTATAGAATTGTACTAAAGAGTAGAAATTTAGAATAACAATATTTGATAAATTCCAGTATAAAAATTTAACCGTAGCAGCTGCGCGGTTTCTGAAATTTATTTTTATCTAGAGTAAAACGTGTGTTCCAGCAGATGTTTCAAATACGATCTACTTAAAAAGCATGTGCAATTAAAAAATAAGACCGGTATTGCATCTAGCGTTCCTGATTTTATGATTAGGTATATTAACTCAGGGGAATAAGATTTTTGGCTTGAACAATAAGGAGACAAAATTAAACTGGTATATAGGAAGAATATCGTAAGACTCAATTTTATTTATAAACTGGTTTAAAGATACACAGGTTTCAGCCAAAGGTGGACTATTTTTAAATTTCCAATATTTATTGGTTAGGTTTTCAATATTCAGGATAAAGGAAGAATTCAGTATTTTTTCCGAAAACATTTTAAATGTAACTAACTTTTTGCATGCTAGAAAATGTCTTCGTAAGTGAAGAATAGACTCTTGTGCTTCCGCAAGAACTGCTGGAGTAGGGGAAGATTTAAAAGCACCGAGACATATTTTGGCTGCTTTAACTTGCATACAATCTAATAACTTAAGGCTTGAGTTCGCAGCTGATCCATATAATATGCATCCATAGTCGATGATTGATCGGATGTAAGATCTATAAAACATTAACGACGTTGTTGTGTCTGCACCCCACTTAAATTTTGTGACACATTTAAGAATATTAATAACTCTTTCATATTTTGATAAAGTATAATCAATGTTTTTTCCATGTAAGCTTATTGTCTAAGACAATTCCTAAGTATTTGAAGGAATTTACTATTGGAAGAGATATTGAATTAAACTTAATGACTTCTCCTGTTATCAGCCTGTGACGGGTATAAACCATCACAGCTGATTTATTTGCAGCCAAAGAGAAACCATGATCAAATAACCAGCTTGTAAGGCAATATATGACATATGTAAGATCTACAACACAATCATGATAAGATACAAGATATAAATACATACATCATCCGCGTACTGAATACACTTAATCGGTTGATCGAAGATCTCATGCAAGCTTGCCGTGTACATATTGAAAAGAAAGGGACTCAGAATGGATCCTTGAGGAATACCCTGGTTGACAATTCTGGGGCCATGCAGAAGGTTATAGTGAGCTCTGATATATACTTTCCTGTTTCTAAATAAATCAATAATATTGGCAAAGGATTTTGTATCAAAACCGTAAAAGGAGAGTTTTGTTTGTAAGATGTTCAAATCAACTGCGTCATATGCCCCTTTTAGATCTAAAAAAAATACATGCTGTGTATTCTTTTTTTGAGAATGAATAGTGAATGTCATTAACTAACTGAGTATAGGCGTCTAAAGTACCTTTAGATGACTTACGGAATCCTACTGGGAATTAGGTAACAGAGAGTTATGTTCAAAATACCATTCTATACGACGTTTAATAATTCTCTCAAAAGTTTTAGCAAAACAAGATAACAGAGAAATTGGGCGGTAAGACGATGGATCGTTAGGGTTTCTCATAGGTTTAAGAATGAATATAATTACCACTTAGAAGATTCAGGAAGAATTCCTTGTAACCACCATTGATTATAAATTTCAACTAAGACACTTTTTGAATTGTCTGGTAAATTTCTAATCAAAGAATAAGAAAAGCTATCTTTTCCAGGAGCTGTTTTACAAGTGGTTTTAATTGCTAATTCTAGTTCGGTTAAAGTTATTTTTGAATAAGGGTTATTTTTATTTCCTAATTCCCTATTATTTACCAGCTGAGGAATAAAACTTGGATCAAGAAATGGAGGAGCAATATGGTCAAATAATTTTTCTATTAGATCTGAAGCCAGAACAGTTTTGTTATTATATTTATTTTTGTTTAAAATACTTTTAATATATCTCCATACTGAAGATATTGAAGTATTTTTGTTTAGATTACTAACAAATTTTTTCCAGCTGTTCTGTGATTTTTGTTTGAATATCAGCTAAATTTTGGTCTGCAGATTTTTATAAACAATAAAATTGCCCAAATTGGATGTGTGACTATAGTTGCATAAAGCTATCTTTTTCTACTCTCAACTAAATGGGAACACTCAGTGTCCCACCATGCTGGAAGAAAGCTTAAAGGAGTAAAAGGATGAAGAAGAGGTAAAAATATTGTCCAAATATGATTTGAAGGAAACCCAGTTAGCCTTTTTTTCGTTCCAAATATTTGAAGGAAACACCTTCTGTTTATCGGGATTATTTGTATTAGTTATTAAGATAGGAAGATGATCAGAACCCATGGTATCAGAAAGTGTTTTCCATTCACATTTAGATGCTAATATTGGCGAAGATAAAGCAAGGTCTAAAGCAGAAGGAGATGTGTTCGGGGCAGAAATTCGTGTGGGAGAGCCATCATGTAAAACAATTAAATTTAGATTATTTAGTGCTTCAACTAGACCTAAACCACTTCGATCATTAGTAATACTACCCCATAAGGAATGGTGACAATTAAAATCTCCACAGATTAACACCTGTGAGTTGAATTGAGAAAAGAGGTTTTCCCAGTCAGTAGTTGAAATGTTATTTTTCGAATCATTATATAGCGATACTATAGTTATTTTAGATTTTTCCAGTTGAATAGCACTTGTTTCAATTTTATTATTGTAATTTTGATTTATTTGTAATTGCTTGAATGTTATATTGTTGGAAACGAATATAGCTACGCCACCATACCCATTTGCTCGATTTTTTTTAAATTAATAGAATTGTTTTGGCCATTTTTAAACCGAATCTCAAATATTATGATAATATCTACATCTTTTGTTTTAATTAATTTAAGAAAATTACGTTTATTTTTATTTAAAGATCTTGAATTCCATTGTATGATTGTAAGTGCATTTTCGTTAGAAAGACGATTCACTGTCGCTATTAATTTCCATTAGTTCTGTTTTGTTTTCAAAATTAAGTAAAATTGAAATAAATGCCCTAATATCAGAATTAAAGTTAGAAATTATATTTTGATTATCATTAATTTTTTGATGAAGAAGGATATGATAAAAATACGTTATTTACAAATTTGGAAATGAGCGAAAAGTTACTACTTCCTACAGTAACCTTACGCCGATCCTGTCTTGTCAATAGTGCCAACTTAAAATTGAGTTATCATGGCGCCCAGCATGTAGGGGGTCGAAATTTGTTTTCGATGCTGTGTGCGTATCTTAGTAAATTTTTGAATGACAATCATTAAGTCATCAAATGGCATTTTTGTTACATTGTAAACTAATATTTTTCTCCAATTTTTTATTGCGTTCTAAATTAAATGGACTTAAAAAAACACTATAAAAAAGTCTTATTCATTTTATCCAGTGCCGTAGCCGTATATTTTTTCAACAAGTTCGTGTACAAGAAGATGTTCGGATCAGGGAAACCGAAGAAAAAACCTCTCAAAGAATTTCCCACGATAGAAGACATCCAAAAATTTATCGAAGAGCTACCATTCGATGCCATCAAGATGGATAGAGGCATTACTTTGAAAGATCTGTTAGGAGAATTGTCGGAATTTAGTGATGATGAGGAATGGAAAGAATTGATTGCGAGTGTTCACAATATGTACAACGAGCATCCGGATGATACCACTACTACTATAGCTTCATAAAAGCGTAAAATTTCATATTTTTTGTCCATAAAACAGTGTAATTTTAAACATATACAATATTGTGCTATACATTTTTTAAAAATGTTAAAATACATATGCCTCCAATCTATTAGAGATTTGACTTCTTTATAAAATGTATACCTATCCACTAAACGTTCTTTCGTGAAAGAAATAAGATGATTTATTTTATTTATCTTTCCTTAAAGACAATTGAAATTGTATGGGAATGGTAAACATCACTAAATCGAAAATGGTCGAAACATTAAATCCTAAAAACAAAGACGAATAAACAAATGTTAAAATTATAACTATAATTTTTGGCGTTCTATATATATATATATATATATATATATATATATATATATATATATATATATATATATATATATATATATATATATTAAACTCTTCACAGTTTAACAGATCCCCCTTAACTCCCTGTTTCATTAAGATAGAGCTCAATTTTTACTAAAAATCGATGACGTCATGTACACGAAAGTGGTGACGTCATTAGTATATTCAATTGTAGAGTAACGCGCATTTGAAAATAAAAATTGACCAGAGAAAGTATTTTGTTAAAATACTGTTAGAAAGAAAAATACTAAATTTATTTCAATTGATACGTCCTCACTATATAATTTTTTCTCACAACGGGACGTCTGTCAATTTTAATAGGGTAACATATCAATTTTTTATTATTTTTAGCGAAGAATAACAACAGTAAAAATATAGTAAAACTGTAAATATATAAAATATATAATGATACAAATTATTAAAAATAACTAATGTTTTATGTTTATTCAAAATAAGAAAAGAAAATAAAGCTAATTTTATGCAGTCTGATGGGTTGGTTTTCTATATTTTGGTTTTTAAATGGGAGTGGAAATATTAACATGACTTGTTTATGTTACCCTTGGCTTGCAATGATGAAACTCGCAAATGAGTTTTTCACTAGTCTCATATGAGACAAAACTTTGTTAATAGTATGCATTGCCTAAGATCGTCTTGTTTTTAAAGCTAAACATTTTTGTGTTTTTTAAGGAAAGTGGGATACATAGCTGGGTAGCGGGACTGTCCTGCCTAAAGCGGCATGTTTATGGTCACATCCTTATCTCAAATATGGCACATCCATAAAAAACAACGACAAAAAAATGAAATCCACTAATCACAGTTCCTAGATTGGTCGCCCGGCTACTATTATTTTTTAAATTTTATATAAGTGAAATTTTTGTTATTGAGATTAAATATACTGTAACAGTAGTTTAATTTATAGTTTATTTATTTAAAACACTATTTACAATTTATTTATAACGTACTAATTACTTTATATAATACTTAGACACTATTATAACTCACAATTCTAATTTATGTATTACAATTTGTGTCCAACACTTTATTTGAATCTTCCTGTCCGTCGACAAACTCGCGCTATTTATATAAATATACTCAAAATTAAGATAAAAAGCCATATACAAATTACATTGGCCTGTATATATATTCCGCCGGGTATCTCTTATGCTGTTTTTGATTCTTGCATACATTTTTTACAGGACAACATTACTGCGACTAATGAAAACTTTATATTCGGAGACTTTAACTTACCGGAAATCAGTGGCTCATTCATTCCCAACCACAATTTTAATACAAAACTTTCTACTTTAAATGACTTCTTAAATTTTAATTTTTTTAACTTGTATAACGATGTCACTAACTTTCAAGGAAGGACTTTGGATTTAGTAATATGTTCAGACGAAAAATCATGCAATATTACACATGCATCAAGTCCTTTAATTATTGAGGACTCATACCATCCTTCATTAGAAATTATTCTACAATTTGTAGAAAATTTATCAGAACATGAAGCCAAGAGTAACAGCAATTTTAAATATAATTTTAAAAAATCTAATTTCAATCTTATGGCAGAACTTATCAAGGACGTTAATTGGAATGAGGTATGTTTAGAATCTAATGTACATAGAGCATTAAATAATTTTTATAAAATTTTAAATAATATTTTTTCAATGTGTGTTCCTGAATTTAAATTATATAAAAATCACAATAAATTTCCGGTATGGTACAATAGAGAAATCAAAGAGTTAATTGCGGAAAAGAATAAGTTAAGGAAAATAAAGCACATTTCAGCCTATTATACTGAAAAATATATAGAGATTAGGAAAAAATTAAAATATCTTACGAAAAAAGAATATACAAATTATGTTAAATCTATTGAAGATAAGGTAAGCACAGACATTAATGTTTTCTGGAATTATGTTAGCAAGAGGAGGGGTCAGAGTTCAACTAATGAAAATTACATTCACGACGATAAGGAAATTCCGTCCAAAGATACAGCACAATGCTTTGCAGAGTTTTTTGCCAGTGTATACCCCACAAATGCAACCGACTACAATGTAAATTTTAAAAGTTTTCAAAATATAGCTAACGATACATTTTCAATAAAATCTATAACTGTTTCAGACTTTAATAAAGCTATTAAAAAGCTTAAACCAAAAAAATCAGCGGGTGTAGATGGTTTACCACCATACATACTGAAAGGCTGTCAAGAATGGTTACGTGACCCATTACTGCACATATTTAATCTGATAATCAATAATGCTGCCTTTCCAGAGCAGTGGAAGACTTCAATTTGTACCCCAATACATAAAACTGGGGATAAACGTAATATAAAAAATTATAGGCCGATATCTGTTATGTGTGCTCCTTCAAAGCTCTTTGAACAAATTATTTATAGTAAACTGTATGCATTTGTCGAAAATACCATTGTAGAACAACAACACGGGTTTGTATCCAAAAAATCTGTGAATTCAAATCTGTTAATATACATCAACGAAGCAAATGACTCATTAGAAAATAAGACTCAACTAGACACAATATTTACAGATTTTAGCAAGGCCTTTGATAAAGTGGATCATGGCGTCTTACTACAAAAGATTTATCGTTTTGGACTATCTGAAAATATTATGAATCTTTTTAAAAGTTATTTACAAAATCGATTTTTTGTAGTAAAACACGATGGAAACACTTCAGGTAAATTTCACGCTTCATCGGGGGTTCCACAGGGATCTAACTTGGGTCCCTTGTTTTTCCTCTTATTTATTAATGATTTGCCAGATGTTATTAGATATTCCAAATGTTTACTTTTTGCTGATGATGTAAAAATATTTAAGCCTATACAAACCGTTAGAGATTGTTCAGCTTTGCAAAAAGATATAAACAGTGTATTGGAATGGAGTGCTCAATGTAAATTAGACTTTAATATTAAAAAATGCAATGTAATGTCAATTACTCGACAAAAGGATCCAATTATTTTTGATTACTGTATGGATAATGAGTCACTAAAACGGGTATATGAATTCAAAGACTTAGGAATTACGTATGACTATAAACTATCTTTTAAAAAACACATTGAAAATGTAGTAAAATCTGCAAATCGCGCTCTTGGATTTACGATACGACAGACGTCTCTTTTTGTCAAAATCGATTCTATAAAATTGATATATGTTACGTTAGTAAGATCTAAACTTGAATATGGCTCTGTAATATGGAATGGAGAATACCAAACCATTTTGCAGGAATTAGAAAGAATACAAAACAAATTTTTAAGATACCTTTACTTTAAAAAATACTTTATTAGACCAGATTATAATAGTGTCAGAACAACACAATTACGAAGTGAATTTAAAATACCTTCTTTAGACTGTAGGAGAAAAATGTTTACTATACTTTTTTTGTATAAAATCATAAATAACCATATAAATTCCGCAGAAATATTGTCAGTTTTGCCATTTAATGTACCTCCTAGACCTACGCGTTCCGCGATTATGTTTAATATTCCCTTTGTAAGTAGCACTCTTCGATCACCTCTCCTAACCATGCTCCGTTTAGCAAATAATATTACTTGCTTGCACGAAGTAGATTGGCATATGCCTCTAATAACATTCAGACACCTAATTTATAGGTATATTGTGAACTTGTCTGTTTAATTATTTTAGTTTTTCCATTTCTTTTATTATATGATTTGCTTTTTATTTTTTAGAAATTTTTTTTCTCAATATGAGTTTGTGTTTAATCCCCCTATATCTATATATCTATTTATTTAATATGTATATTAATACGTTTTGATCGATTGTGTAAATAATAAATATTGTAAAGTCTATCCTTGTAATTTAGGCCAGTAAGCCTGTTAGGATGGAACAAATAAATAAATAAATAAATAAATAAAGCCAACTCTGTACTAGAACACTCTCGGTTTTCCACAACGAACGAACTTCCTCTCTATGACTTATACGCCGCAAAGGGATCACTTCGATAGTTTCCACATACTTTGATTTTCTTTTACTATTAAGAATGGTCGCACTGCGCAGCTTTCTGAGTGCCTTTTAAAAGGAGATAGAAAACTCCGCCATTTTGATCCCTTATTACGTGTTGCCTACATCTTGGCGCAATATTTTTAATAGGTGCGTTTTAATCATCCGCTTCTGCTTTGGAATTGTCGGTTTTCTGGTTTTAATCTGACAGGTTAGAACAACTGAACCGACAATTCCGGAAGCAGAAGCGGATGATTAAAACGCACCTGATATTTTGCTTGCTGCTGTCAGTGTCAGTGAATATTATTTTTGGAGTCACAGTTTATTGCTAAAGAATCAGTTAGCTCACTCGGACCAGTTGAAAGTTCCAAAATAACATCCACTCCAGGGATACAAATTCAGGATACGCAGAAGACTGCTGTTTTATTATAGGCGGTTGTCATATATTGTATTATCCGAGTTGCGCAGTGTATAAACTGGAACATTGAGATAAAAAGTGCCGACGCAGAGTGAGCGATCTGATTCTTTAGCTATAAACTGTGGTAAATGCATCAAAATGGCCGCGCCCTATGTTGGGCGTGTCGGACCTCTCTCTTGCCCCGTATAGTAATCAAAGTATGTGATTGCTAAAGAATCAGTTAGCTTACTCGGACCAGTTGAAAGTTCCAAAATAACATCCACTCCAAGGATACAAATTCAGGATACGCAGAAGACTGCTGTTTTATTATAGGCGGTTGTCATATATTGTATTATCCGAGTTGCGCAGTGTATAAACGGGAACATTGAGATCAAAAGTGACGACGCAGAGTGAGCGAACTGATTCTTTAGCTATAAACTGTGGTAAATGCATCAAAATGGCCGCGCCCTATGTTGGGCGTGTCGGACCTCTCTCTTGCACCGTATAGTAATCACAGTATGTGGTAGTTTCTCTAAGCGGTGCGTTTGTCTCTATATGGCCAGCGCTAGACTTCATACCACGGGCAAGGAGTAAACAAGGAATAGAGACGGCTTTTGCATCACGTCGCCCCCTCCTTAAGAAATATTTCCTCCTGGAACTTAAATTGAATGATTGTATCTGCAACTGGATCCTCTTTTATAATTTCCAGTTGCATGGAAGTAACAAGGCACGGTCTTCGCTGAAACCTGGATACTAGGCGAATGGCTGCAGACCAGTATTTAGACTTCAAAATCTTCCAGCATGTTTCTAATGATCCTCCAATTTAGCTGTTTGCTCTCCATCTTGGGCATGGATAGGTCTGCAACAGTTGCAGTCTCTTGATTTGGAATGGTGTAGATTTCCACGCACTTCATGAAATAATCCATAACCACCATCATGTAATTATTACCATTCTCGGTCATGGGCAATGGACTAGCAATATCTGAGGCAATCCTCGTAAATGGGCTATTGACGTTGTACTGCTTCATGGGGGCTGTTCTTTTCTGTTGGGATCTGTTACTCATAGCACAGATGGTACATTTCTTACACCATCGGAACTGTTCATCCAATAAAACCTTTCACGAACTCTCTCAAGGGTTTTCTTAACACCGAGATGTCCTCCTGGTAGACTGTCGTGTAACTGACAGTCTTCGGCTACTCTAGTCTTTGGAATGACCAACTGTCTTCTGTTTTCGAAACCATCATCATTCTCTAGTACTCGCTTTAATAAGCCTTCTTCTAGAATAAAAGAGTACCACTGAGCCAAATATGATTTAAGTACTGGACAGAGTTTTTACTTTTTTCCAAGTAGGTTATTCAAATAAGCCCTTCCTGTGCTGCTTGAATAAGTTTTTACAACATATGTGTAGAATGCATCCATGCGGTACAACTTAATATAGGTAGGTAGAGTCAAGTGGGGGGTAATAAAAATGGAGTAATTGTGATACAATTTTTTAATATTGGAGAGATTTTTTTGTTGGTACATAACATTGATTTAAAGAATTATTAATACAGCAATATTACCATTACGCAATATCATTAACCAACGCGAAGAAAGGATGTGGTACGCGATTTTTTGTTGCCTTCACAAATTTTATAATTCCTTTTGGTGATGTACACATTTTTGATAGTTGTTTGTGTGTAAATCAAATTTATTGCAAGCCATTAATTTTGAGTAAGTAAGCATTCAGGTATTCATTTAGGGTTTTCAGTTTAATTGATTTTTTGTTTTTTGCTGATATTTGTTCATTTACATTTACCCCATAAATCCAGAACTTTGGGGTTATTATAAAAATAAATGCGGTAATAATTGTGAATGCATATTATTATTATTATTTAATCTGGCATATACGAGGGTGGATCCATATGCTGCATCTATGACCGCCTTACTGTGAAACTACAGTGGCATTAATTGTTTTATTTTTCGACATAGTTTCTCTCTACACTATTGCACTTGGTCTAACGTTGCTCTAACATCTCAACAGCCTTTTGGAAAAAATTTTGTCCGACCTCTGCAACCACCTCTCTACAATTTGCATCAGTTCATCTTTACTGGAAAATTTTTTCCCACGTCAGTTTTTTTTTTTAATTTGGGGAACAGCCTGTAATCACAGGGAGACGAATTTGGTGGCTGCCCACTAATTCAAAACCTGCTTGGTGTATAACAGCCATGATAATACAAGTTGTATGGCTGGGAGCATTATCCTGCTGGGACAGCACACCGTTCCTTAACTTTCCTCGGTTTTTTCTTTAAAAGCGTCTCGCAATTCAGAAATCAATTGTGCGCAATAGGCTCCTATAATGCTCTTCCCCTTTTGTAAAAAGTCAGTCAGGATGATTTCTGGAATATCCCAGAACAGAGAAAGCAAAAACTTCTTAGCAAACGGCACGACTTTGAATTTGCGTGTTGCAAATATGCATCGTCCTTGGTAACATACCGACTAAGCAAGTTTTCTTTGTTTGCTTGGTTTCTTTTCAAAAGTCGCTCACAAGTCAATACCCGATTTCTTTTTTGATCAATGGTTAACAGTTTCCATTCATCTTTTTCATAGTCTAATTCTTTATTCAGTATGTGGCGCACCACATGATATGATAAACCTGTCCCTGATGCGTACTCGTTGGTCTTGCAGAACGATATCGTGTACCTTTTTAATGTTTTTGTCTGTTGTTACCGTTATGAGAGTACCACCAGCATGCTGGTTTTCACAGGATGTTTTTTCCGCATTTAAAATCTCGACACCTGTGTTTGACTAGGTCATAAGAAACTGCAGACTCCCCAATAGAAGCCACAATGTCTTCATGAATTTGAGTTGGCGTCATGCCTTTTTTCTGGAGGTATTTCATTCATTAATTCAGTTCAATAATTAGCCACAGAACAATAACGTTTTGAGATACAAAGTTGATTTTTGTAGATATGATCTAATCAAGCCACCTCTTAGAAATGGGTCAGGGGCAGAGCATAGGGTTCCACCTTCGTATAATCATATAATTATCTGCAAAAATGCCTCGCAAGTACATGAAAAACATACAAGGGCCTCAATACATAGCAGAATACTTAAGAAGAGTGCTGGAAGATATGCTGAATAGAAATAAAATTTATTAGGAAGCACAGGACTTCTATGAGTGCCTAATGCCAATATATTTGTTGAGTACTTTAGACGTGAAGATACTTATTCCACCACCTTCTTTACTGTAGAAGAGCACACCATAGACATAGAATTTAGCTCCATTACAGCCATTTTACCAGATATAGAAATAAAATTGGAGAAACGAAAATGTCTCTATATTTCCTGGATGTGTAGGTGCATTTGAATAAGACTCACTTATTTAGTTTCTTAAATGTACCTATATGCGTTAAAACATATTTTTCACCATGTAAAATGGCCAATTTTGTGAATAAAAGTTACATTTTACCATTGTTATGTTTTTGTTAAGATAACTGCAAATATACTGGTTTATTTCAAAATACAGAAAACAATACTCAGCAGCTTTATTTACATTTTAATGCCTCATCTCTTATAACAAATAAGCATTTAATTTAGATTTACCACGACACGTATGGGGAAATTGTAACTACACAGAAAAATTGTAAACTGCCAAAATTAAAACAAAAGACAAATGTAGCGGGTTAAATTATTCTAGACACATATTAAAAGCCCCTAGTAACCCCATAAAAATATGATTCCTTACCAATAAAAATAAACATTGAAAAAATCTTATTAGTTTAAAAAGTGACATATTACAGTTACCATTACCCCCACTTGACCCTACTCGTTTTTGTTTTAAAAATACATAAATAGAAAGTGTAGAGATGCCCCAGAAAACCAAACCATATCTTAATCGACTATTAACTTCCATAGGATAAAGCATTAACAATTGTTTGTCTTTATTTATTAGTCATGTTATGTTGGGTATGGGGTATTTTTACACTGCAAACTTAAAATATATGGTATTCCCTTTCTGTTATTATTTAATCCAAAGAAAAGTGGATGCCGTAAGAGAGTTAAATAAGGCAGAGAGGGACTTAAGGGATTAGAGTATGACCGGGCTAGTCAAAACTAGCTCACATGACAATCTTAACGGGTCGAAGATAGTTTCGAGATGGTTTTATTGCCACTTAGTATACCTTTAAATAATGTTGCTAAATTAGATTTACTTGTATTCATTTGGTGAATATCTTATAGCCGAAATAAGCCTTCACTATAATAAAATAGCTTTGTAGAACTGTCATTAAATCTGAATATATTGACAGATTAAAAAAAAATAATCTCAACAAACTTACTTGAAATCGATACAACCCTGACTGTCAGCACATTCGCTGTCATCAGTACATTCTCCTTTGAAGCAAGCTCTAAGTGGATCCCCTGTGTAACCGTGTGGACACGTACAAACAGGGCGTTCATTGTTGGACCTGTCAAAACCAGGTTCGCAATGTGCATTGCTGCCGCATGGATTTGGTTCGCACAAGTCTTCTAAAATAATATCAAAAATTAATAACAAAATAGAACACCAACCAAGTATAAATATACAGAGTCTTACAACAAACAAGAAATTTTATGAAAATAGCCGTGACTATTAGGATTACTCACATACTTTGATTTTCTTTTACTATACGGAGAATGGTCGCACTGCGCAGCTTTCTGAGTGCCTTTTAAAAGGATATAGAAAACTCAGCCATTTTGAACCCTTATTACGTGTTGCCTACATCTTGGCGCAATATTTTTAATAGGTGCGTTTTAATCATCCGCTTCTTCTTCGGAATTGTCGGTTTTCTTGTTTTAATCTGACAGGTTAGAACGACTGAACCGACAATTCCGGAAACAGAAGCGGATGATTGAAACGCACCTGATATTTTGCTTGCTGCTGTGAGTGTCAGTCACATGTGTCAGTGAATATTATTTTTGGAGTCACAGTTTATTGCTAAAGAATCAGTTAGCTCACTCGGACCAGTTGAAAGTTCCAAAATAACATCCACTCCAGGGATACAAATTCAGGATACGTAGAAGACTGCTGTTTTATTGTAGGCGGTTGTCATATATTGTATTATCTGAGTTGCGCAGTGTATAAACTGGAACATTGAGATAAAAAGTGCCGACGCAGAGTGAGCGATCTGATTCTTTAGCTATAAACTGTGTCATAGGGTTCAAAATGGCCGGTCAAAGTATGTGCCGCGCCCTATGTTGGGCGTGTCGGACCTCTCTCTTGCCCCGTATAGTAATCAAAGTAGGTCTTTTCCTTTGCATCGAAAGTGTAGCACTGAGCTACACCACTTCTGAAAATATCGTTTCATTTATACAAATTGTATGGATGGAACAATATTTTCAGAAGTGACGTAGCTCAGTGCTACACTGTCGATGCAAAGGAAAAGAGGGATTACTTGAGTCAGAGTGTCAGTTCTGTCAAATACGTCAGTGACATTGGTCGTGTTCACCGTTTCCAAACGTGTTGTAATAATGTCACAAAAAATCAAAGTATGTGAATAATGTGTATTCGGTGATGATAAACTGTCAACCGCTTCACTGCTTTTCAAATCATGATGGATTATCATAAAAGCGCAAATAAAGTATGCTTTAACGCTTCAGAAATCATAAAGTTGACCTTGAACCTCTGTCAATTCTTATTTTTAACATTTTGTCCCGATTTTTATTAAAAGAAATGGATCTTCGTTATGAAAACAGAGTTCACAGTAGTAGTTGTTAGTTATTTGTCTATAATTAAAGAAATCAATAAATTTGAGGTTAAGAAAACAAAACGATTGTTCAGCATCAGCATGATCAACTCATCCGTTCATAAAAAGTTATTGTATGATTCATAACACGTTTTACGACGGTGTAAACGACCATTGTTTTAATGTTGCTACTGAAGTTATTAATATTACTTTTGACATTACATTGGTCACGAGGAATACGGATATTGGGGAAAACTCGATATTTGATACAGCAAAAGATAAATAAACGTTTGCTTACTTGGTTCAAAGGGTCTGCAACGTACGAAAGGATCACCAGTCATATCTCTGGGGCACGAACATACCGGAGTAAGTCCTCTGAGTTCGCAATTGGCTCCCACGCCGCAAGCTCCTTCGCATGGACTTTTGCATATACCATAGAAGCAGGCCGGTCTAGAGCTGGGACAGTCAACGTCGCCGTAACATTCTGGTTGGCAAGATGAGTAAGGATTTCCAAAGTAGTTCTGATAAATAATAGAAAAATCAAATAGTACATAAAACTATAACAAACGATTTAAACATTTCAAATCATTTACAATTGAAAAATGAAATTAAATAACTTGTATTTCAGACCAACAAAGAGGTTTGAGATCAAAGTATAGTTTTACTGCCATTTTTTTGGTGCATAAGAAGCCGTGGTGTCATTCGTGTATTTTGAGCTTTTTTACGAAAAATTAATATGAAGTTCAGTAAAAACTAAAAGTAAAAAAAGGAAGAAAGAATTACATTTCACAGGTAAAATATAACATGTAAATGCCGCGATATTTTTTCATTACTCATTGTATATTTCCTCTGAAGTATATAGAAATAAATACTGTTTATGTGATTAAAACCGAGACATTGTGTCGCCAGCAGCAATATAGAGAATTCTTCAAATTCCAAACCTTACCTTAGGACATTTACAGACAGCTCTGTGATTGGCTATCGTTTCGCATTCGGCATTTTTACCGCATTGGCTCAAACAAGGATTTTGACATTTGAATTCGATGCAAGCTTGAATTGGACCACATTCCACATCACTTTCGCACTCGTGTCGGCATCCGGACGTCGGAGAACCGTGGAATCCAGGAAGACAGGAGCAAGTCGGCACTTCGTTCCTAACTTCACAGTGAGTGTTTGCTCCGCAAGGACTGGGATGACAAAGTTCCTCTAAAAAATATATTAATACGTTCTATATTTGTTAATGCTTAAAATATGATAAAACGAGGAAGAATAAATGGTAATAATAAATGTAATAGTAACACAAAATGGATTTCTGGATTAACTTTGGTACTTTGGCAACCAGTGACAACTTTAAACAATTACTTCATAGCCATTTAGATAGTTGTTTACGTACCAGGGTTAAATCTTCTACAAGATTGTATTGGATTTCCTGTATAACCCGGTGGACAGGTACAAATCGGTACTCCTCTTCTAGCTTCACAGTTGGCGTTTACTCCACAAGTTCCTACACATGGGTCTATGCATTTTCCATTTCTACACGCTAGGTGGCCTCTGCATTCTGTGTCATCCAAGCATTCTTCTCTGAAAGAAAAATATGATTTTTTTTTAATCTTTGCAACCAAACTTTACGTGATTAATATTCTACGTTCAAAATATTCTATTAAACATCTTATAAGTAAATCTAATATTTCATTGTGATACTAATAACCTAAGTCAGTCCCTGACTCAAGAGTTGTTCCCTCTTAGTTCCCCCACCCAAGCTAACCCATTTTTAGAAACTGACAACATTCTAACAGCTTAAGACCATAGTAGCACACTCCAATAGATGTAATTTATGAGTCATATTTAAGAATCCTTTTGTTCAATATATGGAGCAGTATTTCATATTTAATAGTTCTTGTGTTCAACAGATGGCATAATATTTCTTATTATTTATGCGGGCCAGTTTGGATATCTAATCGACATGGCAACACTGTTCAGTTAAACCGTAATAGTGACAAAAAAATATCGTTGTATTATAGCTAAATTAGGCGAGCAACAAAGCTGTCTTACCCCCCCTAAGACTTATGGTGCTCACTGTATATTCAATTCCCGCTTTAAAAGCAGGTAATAAAGGACGGCCCTATTGTCAATAACTTAATATTTTTGTTTATGCATATTATATTAGCTTTCTGTAAAAACGACTTTTGTTAGTAGAAAAACTATTTTTTGTCGTCACAATATTTTTTTTATAAAAACTGAAAAATATTTTTACTTTTCCCTAATATAACCTGCAAAATGAATGTAGTATTACAATTATTTTCCTTTATTTATTTGTTTAGTTAGTTATTTATAGGAAAAACATACTTTATGAACGGAAATAAAATGTTGTCACATATATTTATGTAACAGAAAACGTAAATAGGAAGATATTACCAGAGCAACTTAAAAATTGTTAATTCAATGCCTATTCAATAGATTCCCATAAGAAATGCACGGTACATATGCATATTTTACAGATCCTAACCTGAAATCATGCGCTGCTTGTGAATAATATGTATGCGCATGTCGCGATGGGAGAGGTGTGTGCATAATATATACATGGCAGCCAACGTGTTAACTCTGAAAGAAAAGGTTCCTAATAAAGGTAATTCATTCAGTTGAAAAAGCTGTCACGCAATCTAATAATAATTATTACGTATGTACCATACAGTGTTGCCAAGTCATTCGGATCCACATTACATCGGAATACAATAAAATTCCATCCCTTTCCTGCATTTCACCCTCTTTAAAATGAAATTCGTCCGAATTATCTGTCTTGTGGAGTCTGAACCAAATTATTGAAAGAGTTGTGAAATTATCCCCACATAACATCATAATGTTCTATGAATATACTAAGAACGTCTTGTTTATGTTTTTTTTTTGGTAGAATGTTCTTAGAAAATACCTTTGAAAGTATATTCTAAAAAGTATGTACTGAGTATGTGCTCTGAAAGTATATTCTAAAAAGTATATACTGAGTACGTGTCTTAAAAGTATATTCAAAAAAGTATATACTGAGGACGTGCTATAACAAGATTCTAAAAGTCATATACCAGCATGTACCTCATATTCTGAGAACGTTCTAAATGCTTACAAGTAAAAATACATGTAAAAACATGTTTATATACATATCTATATGAATTTTTCCCAGATGCCGATCTGGTAATTCGCTAGCAAACGCACTAATGTTGAGTGTTCAGGCCAAAAAAACATTCACATCCTTAATAGAAGAGAGGAATGAGATAATCTACAAATTTTTTGATCAAGCTTGAACTTGTAATAGGTAAATAAACTAATAAAAATCAATTGCATCGTTTGTTCTATATAAAAATAAACAAATTTTACTATATTTTTAGTTTTTAGGACCTACAAGTGATGTTAGAACACATGATATCAATTGATACACATGATATTAATTGCCAATGTGAATGTATTAATATGATTGATACTAATACAGTGTTATCAGAATCACATACACACTTTCCATGAAAAGAATCCTGTAAGGCCAGAAATTGACCTGGAAGAACTAAAAAATTAGCTAAAGGAGGACGAAAACTACAAAATGGTGGTAAGTAATTAAAAATATTTTTAAACTTTCACTAAACATAATAATCATTTATGCAACTCTTGTTTTTGTTTGTGGAATGCCATGTACAAGTTTTAATGTTTTACTTTCGACAAAAATATTCCATTAGTTATGTACATTTAATTTGTATATGTACCAAGTTTGTTGTTTATATGTACCAAGTTTGTTGTTTTTTTTATTTTTTAGGTACAATGAAGATCCAGTGGAAGTAAGCAAATGAAACTCAAGCCATTGATACAATCAAATATTGGTTGGTTAAGGACAAAGAAAAAATTTGTAATAAAAATAAGAATAAGTATGAATTTTTGGAAATAAAGATTTAAAAAATGGTAACGATTTTTATTATATTCACTTATTCTTTAATCAATCATTCAATATTAATGAAACATCCTGTATTAGAGTGTGTAGTATATGCCTAGTATATGCGAAATTTAAATACTTAGAACGATCAAATGAAAGTAGATACTTATTGCATACTGTGCACATACTTAAAGTACATTCTCAGTATCTGCATAGCATGTATAAACAACATCACGTAACATATACTTAGTATCTTCTGAGCATGTACTAAATGCAAATAAAGTATATTCTCAGTATATGCGTATTCTTAAAAAGTATATACTAAGAATATGCTAAGAATGTATAATTGTTATCTGGGTCATAAGTACATTACAATAGTACATTGTATATAGTAGGAGAGCCCACTGCAAATTTCGACCGTCATCTGATAACGAAATGAAATCTGCTTCAGAGGCATGTAAAAATATTGTACTTTACCAAACGGCACCTGTGCCTATCACTATCCTGAGCAAAATAGTTAAAACAATGGCACTTCCGGTGTCATAATTAGCGAGAAATGTCGTCATTTGATAACGAGATAAGACTTATGCCATCTGATAGCTATTGATTAATAGAATTTAAAAATGTACCTGTGCCACCTCTTTTCCTGAGCCAAATGCTTGGCACGGCCTATTTATTCAGCCAAAATTTTCGACAAATTTCCGTCATGTGATAACGAGTTAAAAAAATATGCATTCGAATGGGCATGATGTCCCATTCAGGAATATCCACATGTGCCACGTATTAACCTGAGCTAAGTTGCTGGCACAGCGTAATTTCTGAGACGCGCCACTCCCAACTAATTTATTTCATATATATGTTACGGTTAAAGTGTTTACTTGGATAGTTTATAGACTAGCTGGATAGTATACAAACCATCCAAATGTCCTGCTATTTTGATGGAAAATCATATTTCTACTAAAATAGCTATGAATATTGGTTGGTTTGTATACTAACCAGCTAGTTTACAAACTATACAATATTTATCGCCAAAGTACAAACCACAAGAAAAGTACACAAATTAACCGGTATTTTTGGCTAGTTTACAAACTATTCACAGTATTTGGTTAAAGTGTGAACTTAATATTCGTAGTAATACATAATAACCAGCTCGTCGGTTAGTATGTAAACTAACCAATCATCTTTGGTTAATTTATTAGAAAAGTGAGGTTATAGTTATGGCAAGTGTGTGTTGTTATTATTGTTTACTACTGTGGTGTTTCGTAAAATTTGTTAAAGAAGAAGGTAATAAAAATGAATCAACAGAAACAATTTGAAAACCTACTTTTGGAAGTTTACGAACAAAAGTCGCAAAATTCAAAATTAATGAATGACAGTGATTACAGTGAACTTTTGCAATGTATAAAAAGAATACGTGAAACTGGACCTAACACGAGTAACAAAAATGATTATTACGTGGTAAATACTTATGATTTACAAAGAATCGAATCAACTTATGTAATTTTACATAAAAAATCTGGAAAGATTATTTTACGTTTGAGTGAATGTTATGATGCCATTAAAGCTGCCCATCAACTGGGCATGGAGGTCTTCAGGCAACAACAAAATTATTAAATGAAAAGTATTATAACCTAACGCAGGAAACGGTAAAATTATTTATTGAAACTTGCGAAACCTGTCAGCTCAAACGGAACAAAACAAAAAAAGGTATTGTGAAACCAGTACAACCTAATATTTTTCAGGTTTAATCGAAAATGCTAAGCTGGTTATACTCGATAATTATAATGAAATCCCAGTTTTACTCTAAGATAACAATAAAACCTCAATTTTACTCTAAGATAACAATGAAACCTCAATTTTACTCGAAGATAACAATGAAACTTCAGTTTTTCTCGAAGATAACAATGAAACTTCAGTTTTAATTAAAGAACAAGCAAGGGTAATGAATCCAGGTACTGAAACAACTGAAAATGCTCTCAATGAACCGTTATCAAAGTAGAAATGCACATTATGTTTTGAAGAAAATGTATGTGACCATTATCAAAATAAAAACAATATTAAAGCGATAAGAGATGCACGCCACGAAAGTCCAAAAAAGCAAGCAAATAAAATGCTACAAACTTCTCTGAAGAAGTTTAAACCAGGAACTGTCGGCACGTCCGTGAGAGTGCCCATTCCAGACGTAGACCGAAGTCGGTCAGATCATAGAAACATATTGGGCGTAATAATGAGCGTAGAAGATGAATTTTACCGAATTGAAACTGTTCACGGTGTTCTTAAACAACTGTTTTCCCGCAACGAATTTGAAATATGTAAGCAACAGTTTATAAAGTTAGAAAATATCAAGACAGACACGGAAATAACATTACAAAGCGCTGCAGGAAAATTTTCAGTCTCTGGATACGTGTAACAGCAAGTGCCACAACAGTGCACCTTGCTCCAATAAATAATAATTTTCGTTGTTTTGTGATTGCAATGTTTTAAAGTTTTTTATTAATATTTTGTCTTTTTTTTACATCATTTTTTGTTTTTTACTTAGTTTTAAGTAGTAGTAGCAATGTTATACCTATAAATAAACTTTATTTTTTATCAAAAATTATTTTATTATCCTAAACTAAATTAACCAAAGAGGATTGGTTAGTTTACATACTAACCAACGAGCTGGTTATTATGT